TTGCACTTAATAAATAGCTGACAAACATCAGTAATTAAAATTAAATCAATCAAATTAAACGGAAAAAAAAACCGTTAAAACCAGTTAAAACTGTCACGTGACGTGACGATAAAAATTTGATGAAACGATCATCGCAAAAATTAAACTCAAAAAACCGTTAAAAATAATTTGAATTTTCATAAAAAACCGTTGAAGTTCAAAATTCAAAAAGTTGACGCTTGGAAAAGCTACGCTTTAATTCAAAAGTAAACAATGAATAAAAAAATAGACAAACAAAATAATTAATATTTAAGTGCTTTAAAGGCATTTAAATTATACATCTAATAATTTAAAAGCAACAATAAGAGACATAAGGTAGATATATAGTGAATAAATGTGAAGAAAAGCAATAGACATGTAAAAAATTAATGAAAGAAAATATTTCATGCTTATTCGTGAAAAATGATAACAAATCATTTAATTGCTCCAATAATGAGAATGTAAAACAACTTCATAAAGATGTAAAACACTCAAGGACTAAACTAAGCCATAATAAGCAACAAAAAAGTTACTTAAAAAAGTCAAAATTGACTTCAATACATAAAAAAGTTTGATTCTGGAAGAATGGAATCTCACTATAATCAAAAATAAACAATTAATTAATATATTTAAATTTATTACACTTCTTATCCTTATAGATGAGTCATGTTCGATTTATTTCTGTACCTGACAGCTGGAGCGTGAAAGACTTTACTAATGGATTGATGAAATCTATAAGATGGAGTGAAAAGGACATGGAGGCGATCAAACTCATACATTTAGAACATCTGAGAAACAAAAGAATGCACATTAGACTAAGCTTTCATCACAGCTCAATGTTACATCAGCTGTTAAATGCTGGAACGAAAACTCGAGACAAGAACATTTATAGTATCTCAATAAATGGCGTGACCATTTTAATGGAGGCAATGAACAATTTCAAGGAACGATTCATGATGTCATCAACAAAAAAGGAAGCTTATAATGAAAAAACTAAAGTTCTGTTGTTAAAGTTCTTTAGAAAAGATAGTTTTAATGACATTATCAATATACTTAATCAAACCAAATTAAGTAAATTAATTTATATGAGCTTTAAAGGTTTAAACGCTTTCTTAATGTTTAAAGATTTAAAAGAAAGTGAAAAATTTGCAAAAGACATGAGTAAGAGTTTTTACAATGTAAAATATTCATACACATATTTGACTCTCGCTAAGTATAATCATGCTATAAATGAAGACAGAAATTTAGAAATTCAACTGCAAAATCATGTAGTCAAGAGAAATAACTTAAAAAGGAAAATTGTAAAAAAATCCGAAAAAGAATTATGTAACGAAGATAAATCTCACAAAGATTTACAGGATAAGATGAATGAACTTTCCCACAAATTAGAAGTGGTAGAAAATAATCAGAATAGATTAGAGGCGAAAAATTTAGATATTAATAAGCAAATTCCTAATTTGATGTTGAACGCCAATATGAGTGCATTTGAACGAAACATGCAAATGTTAGCATGGCAATATCAAAATCGCGAGATCAATTATCCTTTAATTCAAGGATTAGCACCGTTGAGAAACTCTTTATATCCATTTCACATATAAATTTTTGGTCGGCTCAGAATGTTTAAAATTAAACATTCTATTTAATTTTAATATTCAATTTATTAATTAATCACAAAAATGAAAGGAATTAAATCAGAACAAATAACGATAATTGTAGCTTTGAAATTACGTTGATAATTGTAGAGATTCATAATTATACAAATTTTATAGCAAGTAATGAAAATTAAAAGTTGATTGCCCTATTTGGATTATAACAAAATATTAGTCACGTGAAGTGAAGCTGAAAAATAATTAATTAAACAAAAGAACAGAGTGAATTAAAAAAGTAAATTGGTCATTTAACAGAAAAGAGTAAGTAAGAAAATATAAGAAACAAATTTATATAATAATATTATGATGATACATGCAGGATTAAAAAGACACGTTTAAGACACATTTAAGCACATTAAGAATGAAAAATTTATATTAGATAACTCAATAAAAAAAAAAAAAAATAATAAAATGAAGAGAAAATCTCTAATTATTAATTAAATCAATGTTTGAAAAAATAAGTCTTTATAAATCTCGAATTTAGCTAAAAACTAAATGACAGATTAGTTGCTTTTACTAATATCTCTGGTTGTCATTAGGATCGAGTTTGTGTGAGGAATTTATGTTGTGTCATTGGGTATGAGATAATTAATATGGCCACTTATATCTACAATTTTGAAAGTCTTTTAAAACCACTCAGTCTAAAGAAAACTTTAATTCCCTCCTACGTCATTGCGAACAAAAATAGCTAGAAATCAATCTTAATTTAAGTAACAGAAATTTATATTAAAACTCCATCAATAAAATCATTAAACTGCCCATCTCTGATTTCATTCAATCAAATAACTCCACCATATTCGCAATCAAATTATTGCAAAAAAATTGTCTGGTATGACGTTATTAATCTAAAATCTCATTTGAAAACAACATAGTCATTTCATTACGCTGACTAAATCGATCAATTATATTTTTATTTTCATTAATGAGCATCATATCGGGCTGAAGATGCAACCGCTTTGATTTTCATTTTCATATTTCACAAAAAAATAATTCAATAAATAAAAAACTAAATCAGCAGCATTGAGTATGAAGAAACAAGCTGAATTGCAAAACTAGTGTATCGGGTAGAAACCCAATTCGGAATTTATTCACACCGTACCATCAAAAGTCTTATGGATAGACCAAGATTTGCCCAGCATAAGTATGAAGAAAGCAGGAGATATAAAGCAAGCGAATCAGCTGAGCTTCGCTCAGCATAAGTTTGGAGGTCTAAAGCTTAACGAACATTCTTTAAAAGTTTTTTAAAAAAATTTTTCATCCAAAGTTGAATTTTATAAAAATCACAGTCAACTTTTGTTTTAAAAAATTCGTAAGAAAGGAAAGTTTTTTGCTTTTTCTGAAACAACGGCTATTCCTACCTTGCCCAAAAACAATACAGCTCTTCTTTAGAGCAGCACGGATCAAATGTAAAAAACTAGAAGTCTCTACGATGTCTCGTTATTGAGATTTCTTGCTGATTACCTTGCTTGCTTGTTTGCTTACAGAAAGCATATTTTGCGATTTTCTTAGCCACAACCAATTTGAAATTTGTTTTTTTGAAAATGATGTAAAATTTCAGGCACAAACTTTTCTTCTCAGACCTTTTATAACCACTTTTGCTTCGTTTTCTCACAAAATGCAAAAACTGATTTTTCAATCTGAACAAAACCAATAGATTCACACGTGAAAACGGTGTGAATATAATATGAATTAAAAAGAAGTATGTAAGCAACAAGTCAAAAGCTCTTTTACGGTTTAATGATCTGACCCATTTCTTCTTTACATGTTTTTCTTGCTTGCTCTTTTCTCTTTCTTATAATTTGCGTGCAGCCTATTGTGCACTTATGAATTCTCGTCTCGTGTTTCTTATTTATTGCTGTTGTACTGTTTTTTTAGATCGCAAATGCATTTCGAATCCATATATGGAATATTATTGGTTCTCTACATTTGGACAATAAATCATTAAATACGAGAGATTATAATTTTAGTTCGTGATTAATATATGTATGCTCAATCATGATAAATTCAATAGAAACATTTCAACCCAAACTTTTAGAAACATTTAAACTAGTCACACGCAGAATTTTACAAATTTTGTACATCGCGTACAAGTAATAAAATGAACATTGATGAAGCATCACATAATTAGTGCAATGCATATCACTTGATGGTCATGTCATGATATTAAAAAATCATTTTTGTTTTTATATTCACACCATAACACGAAAGAATGTATTGTTTTTGTTTAGATTGAAAGATCAGTTTTTGGAATTTTGTATACAAATAGAAAAGCTGAAAATGGTCAAAGAAGAAAAGTGAAATTAAAATGAGTGAAGCTTTGCTAGCCTTTTTATAATTATAATTAATTTTATTTTTTTTTTGAAATTTTGTGGTTCTAGGAAATTTTGATTTATGTAAGTTGGCTTTATTTTTGAAAAAATAATTTTTGAACCCACCTTGGTATTATTAAATAAATAATGCTAAACTAGAAACTTTTAATCTAATGCTGAGGAAAGCTTTGTCTTTCCACAAGAATTTTGATGTACGGTGTGAATATGTCCGCATTGGGATTCTACCCGATATACTAGTTGATCTTTCACCTTCATCTAATTTTTATATTCACATTCATCATCTTCATCCGAATATACAGATCAATCAATAATCGATATTTTTATTACCGATTCACATTATACAAATTTACACATTCCTTTTACATCATTTGTGAATACTTTTTTTAATTTTGTTGTGTAATTTTTTTTGGTGTCTTGTGCAACAAATTTAAATTAAAATTTTCACTCAATAAATGTATCATTGCATGATACTTACTCCTGATAATTGATCACTGCTGATTTTGATTTAAATTTTTTTTCTTAAAATTTCAACCTTATTTCATGTTGGGAAATGAAGGTTGGCGGCATTTAATCTTCAAATCCGTTAAACAGTTTTTAGTAGACATGAAAAATGAAAGCTCATTGAATAAATTGCAGCAGCATTTATTTAATAATTATTTTTTTTACATAAAGTAAATCGATTGAATTATGTACATACACATTTAATACATAGGAAGTAGCATGATGATGAAAATCATTACAATGGATGAGCGAGGCTGATTTTTGTCATGATTTGGGTGTTAAAAAGTTGGTGGATTTGGTTTTAAAATTGTGAATGTCTCAGTATATGGGCAGGTACATTTATAAAAACATTTCACGAAAATTCTTGACAATAAAATACAATGCCGAACAACAAATTCAAAACAATGAATCTATTAATTACAAATTCTCATGACAAAAATTTTGTTTCAGCTCATTCCATGTAGCATATTCATTAGTCATACTAACAATATTATTTTTTCAGGTGCATTATCTCAACCTCAAATACAATAACGATATCGGCCAAAACAACAACAAGCATGTGCAGTCAAATGTGATGGAAAAATCATCGACAACATTAAGTATCAATTCCGCGCTAGAACTAGAAGTTGAGAATGCACGAAAGAAGTTTGAAGCACCAATACAATTACGGTCGCGTGACTTGATATGTGAATATCTCCAAAAGTCAATCATTAAGGTGCCAGACATTTTGAAACCTCAGCAAAATCACAACAAACACCTACAGCATCATTGTCATAATGAGACCTTTTCAGCTTCTGTTGACGTTGACATTAATGATATCGATTTAGCATATAAACATCCAATGGTTATTGCAGAAGAGCTTGAACATGGTGGACGTGAAGCTCTTGCATTTGACTCACTTAAGAAGATAAATCATCTTGCTGACAATTCTTCCATAATTATTCCACAATATAAACAAGAAGTTTGGAAAAATCCTGAACGCCCACATTTGATTGGAAAAGTAACTCCAAATATAGCCAGAACATGGAAACAACTGTCAAGTACCATGAATCATTTCAGCGAATATGAAAAGCAAGAGGAGGAAGACAAGCAAAGCTACGTTCTATTCGTACGAAAGCCATTCAATTTCAGTGCATCTGACAGTCACGAAAATGTATTTGCTGTCAATAAAATTCATCATTTGGCTGAAAGTGAAAAATTTTATGATAGTATTGAGGAATATAACGACGATTATGAAGAAGAAATTGATGATATTGACTACAATTTGGATTATGAAGATGGGAATATGACATGTGGAGGTGAAATGATGGCAGATGAAACTGATTCGTTGGAGATGAGAAGATGTGGGAAAGATGACGTTATTGTTTGGTCTATTGAAAGCTAGGTTAAGCAATAGCAGTTTTTAATTTGTGGAAAGATAATTTTAAACTGCAAACCAAAAATTGAGAATCTTGAAGAATGCACATTTTCGAAACAAGTTTCAAAAATGCACAAAAAATTGAAATTATAAAAAAAGATATTTCTCGAGTAATTAAAAATTAATATGAGCTTTAAGAAAGCAAATTAACACACCTTTAATTAACGGATTCTAGAGATGATCGTAATGCCATGCTATTCTATTTAAATTTTATAAATCTATCCATGTTCCATAATTTATTCACTTTAAGAATAGAACACATTAAATGGCATTATGGTTCGCACGTACTTATAAAATATTTAAAAAGCTTTAGGCATTATTCTCTAAAAAAATTATAAAATATTGCGCTTAAAATTCAAGCAAATTCAAATGAGTTTAAATGTTTCTAAGGGTTTAATATCATATTTTGCTAGTTGATTCGCCTTAACTTGCTAATCAAATTCTGATCGCTAATATAAAATGCGATTAAATTCTACGATCAATTACACGAGGATTGATTGATTGTACATTACATTTTTATAAAGCCCGTACTTTATAGTTGATATATCACCTCATATGTTAAGAAAATTGTTCTATTTTCAATACAAGTTGAAAACCATGTTAAACAATAATATTAAGCAAAAACACGAAGAAAATAAAGAATTAAAAAAAATGAACAGTTAAAATGATGCATTAAAAGTTTCATTAATCAAAACATCCACCCAACGAAACCCACTTATTGAGTTATGATCATTTTCTATTTTGCAGCTCTATAATTTGGAGAGGAAGAAAAAAATTTAATTTAACATAGAATTTCTTTAAATGATGGAGTTGCAGCTGCTTACATGATCAATGAATTTTGAACGAGGTTTCTAGACTTCAGTTTGAAACAGCACTATTACGGCCGTTTTGTCTGTTACGCTAACAAATCAAATAATAGCTTTATAAAGGGATGGTTCAAAAAGTGCCTCTCTGATTAATTTTTATATTCTGATTTCAATATCAAACCATCCAGGTAAGTTGTCTGTTGTACATTGCCACAATTTCATAATAAGCTTTAAAGTATTACAAAGCATTAAAAATAAAATTTCCTTCGACGCAAAAGCATGTACCTAAGTTATTACTTTCACGAAAAACACATTTTTTTTTTTATTACGGTATGAATAACTTCTTTTCAGAAATCTCAAAGTGTGTCAAAATGTGTGTTTTAGAATGCTGGATTTTTCTGTGCTTAAACTTTTACAACTGGACATCATCTATGTCTTCAAAACCCCAGAAAACGTCTTTTTAGGCCTGAAATTTGGTGAACGAATCACAGACAAGCCAGAAGGGGATGGAAAATATTTTTTTTGTCATTTGATCACACAAGATAAGCAATTAAGGGGAATTAATATTTTCACTGCAAGACAATAAGTTCACTTGGATAAAATCAAAATTTGAGGTGATATAATTATTTTCACGTGCAGTTAAAAAAATCACTTACATTTGTAAGTAAGATTTTTGTCTTCACGTGAAGTTAATAAATCCGCAACATTTTTAAGATTTTTTCTTTAACATCTTACTGTGAGACAATAAAACCGCTTTAAATCTCTGAGTGAGATATTTAGTCCACCTACTGTAAAATAATGGATCAAAGTAATCCATTATTTTACACCTACATTTCTTAGTGGACTTATTGTCCTTCGTTTGCAAAAATTATTGATCAGGTAAAAAAAAGTTACCAGCAATAATTACAATCGAATTTTATTTTATTATCATGCTTATTTGCTTCATTAATAAACCTTTCACCATTTTTATTTTATTTATTGGAATTATAATCAGAATCTAACTTCATCTTTTCATTTCTCATTCTAAATTAGGCATTTCTTAACTTAGACAGGTACATTCTGAGATTCCTTTTCAAAATGCTTATCGATCCACTTATTTTTAATGAATTTTGGAAATTTATCGGCAATCTCAGTAATGAACATTTTATTAGTAATGTATGTTAGGTGGTTATAAGCTTCAGCCAAAAACTTGAAGTTACGAAATATTTGATGATTTTTACATAACTTACAACATTTTTTGTAAAAATATAAATCCTAATATTAAAATATTTAAATTTAAAAATTAATGAATTATTTTTTTATTTGTTTTCAAATATTTAAAATTTGATTTTATAAAAATAAAAATCAAATAGACGAATATTCGATTTTTTTCTATGAATGAATCTATCGTTTTAATTTTATGATCACATTTCATCAAACTATTTTGGTTGAAATTAATTATGTTAAATGCACACAACACTAATGCATTCACTGTATTTAATTAATATTTTATGTTATCTAATTGGATTTTGCAGTCTTTTAACTGATAAATTGGCGGACCATTTTTTGTTGGAAAAAAATTTATTGGCACGGAATTATTTGGAAAGATTTTTTGGAAAACAATTATTTGGAAAATTTTTTTTTGGAAGTGAAAATATTTGGAACGGAATTTTTTGGAATTCTAAGAATTTGTGAATAAAATAATTACAGGTAAAAAAGGTTAAAAACTTAAAAAAAAATTAATTATGACATTTTCAGTATTTTTATATTTGTTTGTTCATGGCAAAAGGATATTAAAACGAAATTCACTTTTTTCCCGACAAAAATATTAAATTATCTAAATTGTAAGCAATTTCTTACTTTCGAGAATTTTCCTTTATCTCACAACTCCATCTTATTATTAGAGTACATTATTTCACTAAAACAATTATTAATTAATTAATTTAAATTGATTTTTCAAACAGAAATCATATTTTGATTCACAGTATAATTTTCAAATATTAGAAGTAGCAACGTATCATTTGGTATTAAAATATTTTTTTAAAATGAAGTTTTTTTAAATTGACTTATTTAAAATCATGCAAAATCCTTCATAAAACGAAGAAACTATATAATACAAATTAACATGCTATAAATTTCAAACTGCATGTTTAAATATTTTACTGGAAGTTATTTTTCTTCTCTGGATCTCACAATTTTCACTGGATGCTTTAATATATTTAAATCTGTATGTTTATTATACTTTCAAGTCTTAATCTTTACACTTCATTTATCATCCAATGTGAATCCAGAGTAAATTGAGTGTCAAAAAATTAATTTGATTAAATCATGTTATTAATTTTTTGGAGCGTTAAATTTTTAAATTTCTGAAAATTGTCTCAAAAACTCAACTTTTATGCCTTATTTAAACCAAAGCCATTAAACAACTTACTTGACGTCGAAAAATGATGTGCAAATCCTTGAAATTTCCAGTCCTTAAATTTTTTTATATTTCCTTCTTCAAATTTATTCAATTCCTGGCTGATTCTCAATTATTTTCTCCTTAAGTTAATGCCAGTGATTTTCTTGTGTCCATCTGATGCTGTTGTTCGTTAAATATGTCCTAGAAATAGAAAAACACATAAAGATTAATTAATTACTGCACAAAAATATTATTTTATGCAGACAACAATTTTTTCAAAGCAAATTAATTATTTTCATCACAATTTTTCACTTTACTCACCATTTCTTGTGTCCATCCGATGCTGTTAATCGTTAAATATGTCCTAGAAAGATAAAAATAAGGAAAAATTAATTAATTATTGCACAAAAGTATTATTTCATGCAGACAATTTTTCACAACAAAATAATTATTTTCATGACATTTTTTCACAACAAATTAATTATTTTCACTGTTTTCCTTAATTATTTTATTAGACAAGTTTGGTTTTGTGCTTCTTATTTTTAATTCCGGTTCTTTTGATGTCACTTTCACTAAACTTAATTAACTTTTTTACTTATTATTTTCAGATTTTTTTTCAGTAATTTTCAATTTTATTCACTTTTAATTATTTTTATGTAAGTGTTTGTATTTTTTTCCAAGTCCTACTATGTTTGCGGATGATTTACAAATATATTTAATTAAATTAACTCTCTATTTAATTAATTATTTCACTTTTTCACTCAATCTCGGACTTAGGGAGTTTTTTGCCCGCTCCTGCGGGCGAAAATGGGTGGGCGGTGGGCCGTGACCTAGTAAACAGATGACAACGTGGTCCTTAAGATTAATTAAATTATGTGGTTTATACTCACTTATGATGATTTAATTATGTCTTAATGTCTTTATAACATCCTTATGAACCTTTATCAACACGAGTATCCTTCTTATATAGACTAATTAAACAATATAAATGTTTACATTAAAGAACGGTGAACCCTATGTCTATTACATCATTTTCTCATGGACATTTGAATTTCAAAAAACCGTTATTTAACAATACAAGTTTTTCAAAACTTCCGAGGGATGTGAACATAAAAGTGATGTATTGACAAAAGTTGCTCCAAACTGAGATGCATCCAACGTGATATCGACATCCCATGTACCCCCCTATGGAAAATTCTAGAAAAATCGAGTTTTTTCGAAAACATGAAAATTTTTTTTCTCTCATCCTAGAACAAGTGTTTTAGACCTCAAAACAGATGTGAACATAAAAGTGATGTATTGACAAAAGTTGCTCCAAACTGAGATGCATCCAACGTGATATCGACATCCCATGTACCCCCCTATGGAAAATTCTAGAAAAATCGAGTTTTTTCGAAAACATGAAAATTTTTTTTCTCTCATCCTAGAACAAGTGTTTTAGACCTCAAAACAGATGTGAACATAAAAGTGATGTATTGACAAAAGTTGCTCCAAACTGAGATGCATCCAACGTGATATCGACATCCCATGTACCCCCCTATGGAAAATTCTAGAAAAATCGAGTTTTTTCGAAAACATGAAAATTTTTTTTCTCTCATCCTAGAACAAGTGTTTTAGACCTCAAAACAGATGTGAACATAAAAGTGATGTATTGACAAAAGTTGCTCCAAACTGAGATGCATCCAACGTGATATCGACATCCCATGTACCCCCCTATGGAAAATTCTAGAAAAATCGAGTTTTTTCGAAAACATGAAAATTTTTTTTCTCTCATCCTAGAACAAGTGTTTTAGACCTCAAAACAGATGTGAACATAAAAGTGATGTATTGACAAAAGTTGCTCCAAACTGAGATGCATCCAACGTGATATCGACATCCCATGTACCCCCCTATGGAAAATTCTAGAAAAATCGAGTTTTTTCGAAAACATGAAAATTTTTTTTCTCTCATCCTAGAACAAGTGTTTTAGACCTCAAAACAGATGTGAACATAAAAGTGATGTATTGACAAAAGTTGCTCCAAACTGAGATGCATCCAACGTGATATCGACATCCCATGTACCCCCCTATGGAAAATTCTAGAAAAATCGAGTTTTTTCGAAAACATGAAAATTTTTTTTCTCTCATCCTAGAACAAGTGTTTTAGACCTCAAAACAGATGTGAACATAAAAGTGATGTATTGACAAAAGTTGCTCCAAACTGAGATGCATCCAACGTGATATCGACATCCCATGTACCCCCCTATGGAAAATTCTAGAAAAATCGAGTTTTTTCGAAAACATGAAAATTTTTTTTCTCTCATCCTAGAACAAGTGTTTTAGACCTCAAAACAGATGTGAACATAAAAGTGATGTATTGACAAAAGTTGCTCCAAACTGAGATGCATCCAACGTGATATCGACATCCCATGTACCCCCCTATGGAAAATTCTAGAAAAATCGAGTTTTTTCGAAAACATGAAAATTTTTTTTCT